GAATAGAATAGAATAGAATAGAATAGAAGAGTTGGAAGGGATCTTGGAGGTCTTCTAGTCCAACCCCCTGCTTAGGCATGAAACCCTATACTATTTCAGACAAATGGTTATCCAATCTCTTTTTAAAAACTTCCAGTTTTAACTTTTAATGATGAGTAATGTCATCTTATGATTTCTTGATTAATAGTTGTCCAGTCAGCTTCATAATAAAGTTTGTGAACACCATATCTAATTGTGTCTAAGGCGTGTTTGGCACCAGATCAGAGTCAGCAGGTTCTGACCAGTTCTGGAGAACCGGTAGTGAAAATTTTGAGTAGTTTAGAGAACCGGGTAAATACCACCTCTGACTGGCCCTGCCCCCATCTATTGTCTGCCTCCCAAGTCCCAGCTGATCGGGAGAAAATGGGGATTTTGCAGTAACTTTCCCCTATCACGCCCACCAAGCCATGCCCACCAAGCCACGCCACTCCCACCTTGCTCTGTAGAGCAAATATTAATTAATTTTTTTTCCTGTAGAATTTCTTTTAACTCCTTCCGCTGTAGACTTCTTGGTCACTTTCCATGTAAATTTTATTAATAGTTGGTGAAATTTCTGTAGGTGTCTTAAAAAAAAAACAAGTCCATTGAGTAGGCCTAATCCCAGTTTCCTTTGATTCCTGAGGAAGTATAACAGGATGATACCCAGCCAAACAATAAAGCCCATAGCAATAGATTTTTCTTCAATCTGTCTACACTCTGTTGGATGAATCTCATGTAAGGGTTGAACAGATAAACATTTTGAGCAGTTGTCCCTAGTTGGGACTTTCCTAGTGAATTGAGACCACTCCCATATTTATTGCCAGCTGCTCTTTTTATGAATTCTGTAACCTATGGTCTGGAAAGGAACAGATATTGAAAAGCTGATTTCAAATAATTGCTTTGTTCTAACTTCCAGAGGAAAGAATGGGTTAATTTGCTTCAGCCTAAACAATGAAGAGTGCAATTTATGTGATGTAATTATGTTAAACCACTTCTATGCAAACCCCAGTGGAATGGCTGAGAAATAGACTTGCCCTCTTATTTTTCACGAGTTCAAAATACTGAAAACAGACCTAAAATGTTCCAATTAGCATTCAGAAGTGAAACCTAGATATGTTACCCAAGAGCCTAAATAGATTATTTGAACATTAGAATTTCAATGTGTGATTAGGAATCAATACACTAATCAATTAGATTCCTTTTTCCCTCCGGTTTCCCTCTTTTTAAAACTAACAATGCCATGTTTCACAGCAAGCAGTAGATTTTAGAGGAATTTCTTATTCTGTGATTAGCTGATGCAAAGGTCACTTTAATGACTCAGCCTTAAGAAAAGCTAATGAGAAAAATGAAATATTTCATAGTAAGCATGTTTAGGGGAGGTATTCCCATGATGAATGAGAGATTTCAAGGTTTCTTTTTCCTTGATTCATGCTGGAAATAAATTAGTCTGTATCCCTAGCATGATTATTATTTCTTATTGAAATCCGATTATGTAAAGACTTGCTTGCAACCATGTTTTGTTTGTTTGTTAAAAAGGCAAACAGTAAATGCGACTTGCTGCTTTTGCTATACAATCTTTGTAAATAAACGGAAATAGCCGGATATGAATCTGCCTCAGCCCAATAACATCGTATTTGTCAGGATATTGTTCTATTTTTCTAAGTTACATAACTCATTTATATTAAAAAAGTTAATTATTATTGCCAGTTCTAGGAAAAGCCACAAGCTGTGTGTATCTATTTCTAGGGGGTTATAAGACAATGAACGTTAGATTCCTATCCTCTTATTGATCACAGTAATATTATTAGTTGCTTCTCACTATATCTGTTGACTGAATTCCAGAACAATCCTTAAAGAACACAATCATGCATAGCTTTGTTTAGTCTGCCCGAGAGAAATGTTTCTCAATCCTTGCAACAGTAAGATAGAATAAGGAAGGGATCTTGGAGGTCTTCTAGTCCAACTCTCTGTCAGGTAGGAGACCTTATACCATTCTGGACAAATGGCTGACCAATCTCTTCTTGAAAACCTCCAGTGTTGGAGCAATCACAACCTCTGAAGCCGTTCTACTGATTTATTGTTATCATTGTCAGGAAATTTCTCCTTAGTTCTTTAGTAATAAAGGCATATACTCTTTATTCTATTTTTTTAAAAGAAAAATCACGTGAAGACAGAGCATGAACTTTGAGATTGTTTATCAACAGTTGGTGTCTGGACAAATATACAAATAGCCAATTTAACGGGATAGGCATTTTGCTGGTTACACAGCTATAATTAAAACATTGTTTGCAGTGAGCCATTTTTTTACACTTCATAGAGGAAGTTCTAAATTAGCCTAGCATATTCCTTTGGCTGACATACTTAAGGAGGACGGTGAGATGTGACTATATAAAGATAATCAGATGTTAGAAAACGCTGGTCAACCTTGAGGAACAGGGCTGCAACTCAACTTTCTAACCTTTTGAAGAACTATGAAAGACTATTTGGTTATACTGGAAGAGCCTTCACTAAATTTTTTACTTGATCTTTGAGAGAAAGATTTAAGAGTAGAAATAAAAGTAACAGGAACAAAGCACTTTTAATTCCCATTCTTACAACCCCACCCTGCATGGGCCATTCTATTGCCAATTTCAGTGCCATATTTTTAAGGTGCTGGGACCTGAAAATGATATTTGGTAGGGTAGGGTAGGGTAGGGTAGGGTAGGGTAGGGTAGGGTAGGGTAGGGTAGGATACTTTATTTGGCTAAGTGTGATTAAACACACAAGGAATTTGTCTCCAGTGCATAAATTCATACATATAAAACAACAAAGTAATAATAAATCATAATAATGTATCTTATCTATCATAATACCAATATATAATGATTATTTCTGACAGGCCAACTTATCAACTCAAGTCTTAGTACACCAGTATGCATATCTAGTCTATCGGGATGAGATGGATTGGCTAGATCTGTTTCCAATTGACTCTGAAGCAATTAAGAAAGGCTGAGTGCTCAACCTAATAGATTATTTGAAGCAGGAACTGAATAGAAGGAAGGTGTCTATGCAGTTTTGTATTTGAAAGATAGAAACTTTTGCGCTAATACATATTTTGAAAATTAAGCTTTTTGAATATTGATGAGCTGGAAAATAAGACTTCACGAAAACACTATTCATTGCCGAATTGGCAAAAGTGGCTGATGAATTTAAAATGTGGAAAAATATTTTCTTTCTTCAGTTTTTTCACCTGCAGTACAGATAACAATGATTCCAAGAAGGTTTTTTTCCTTAAACTTGAAATAGTGGCAAGCATTTACCCTGTAATTGCTTTTTGATGATGTTTCACATTTATTCCTAAATCCTAAATCCCTGATACTATAAAAAAACCTTTGCAGCACAATGTAGCCATGCTGATTCCCTACATATTTTTTTTAATTTTAAAACAAACTTTATTTGTCCTTAAAAAACATTTAAAACAAATATAAGAAAAACATACAAATTTCTCTTAATCAAAGACAAAATTACATATACAGTACATATACAGTACTCAACTTCATCTATTGACTACTTTCTATTATTATATATACATATATACATACACACAGTGACTTATTTCCTTTTCTATCCATCTGACAGTGCTGTTTTTAATTATGTTGATTTCTTCTAAATTTCATCTTTAACCATTCCCCCTCCTCTGGTTTATCCACTGGTACCATCTATTCCATATTGTAAAGTATTTTGAGTCTTCCTTGTCCTGTAACTACATATTTTTATATACTAATATGGAAGGTATTTGTAATAGCCTGGAGTAAATTTATTAAGACTCAGGTTTTAGTTTTAGACTCTACAACAGGGGTGTCAAGCTGGATTTCTTCAAGGGCTGGATCAGCATTGTAGTTCTTTGCGGGCTAGCTGGAGTGGGCGGAGATGGAACAGACACCTCCTGCAGCATGCTGCCGGCCAAAATGGGGTCTGGGGGGGCTTGTTCTTAGCCTGGGTGGTCTCCTAGAGCACGCTGCCAGCCAAAATGGGGTCTGGGGGGCGCGTGGCCCCCTGAGCCCCATTTTAGCTGCCAGAGACACTGCAGGCCAGTCCTTTGCTATTTCCAGACCGCCCCGCGGGCCAGATTTAAGGACACCGTGGGCCAGCTCCAGCCTTGAGTTTGACACCTCTGCTCTACAACAAACTTTCCCAGGTGTGCTGGGATGACAATTCTTAGGATCTCATAGTAAGGGATGCTAGTAATTCCCATCCTTAAAGTATAGATTTATATCTAACTGGCCCAATTCAGGATAATTCAGATTTAATTGAAAGTTGTTTATATATTATAAATGTTAAAGCAAAAAAAAAAAAAGTAATTTTGGTGAGCAGAACATCTAGAAATCCATGCCAGAAAGTGACAAGCACACCTGCTAATTTACTCTGAGCAGCAGGAACACTGTATATATAAAACTGACTAATTTGGAAGATGTAATGAAAATGGAGAGAAGAGTAAAATAGTGGTCAATCTTTGAACAGATCCTTTTTTAAAATTCTCTAAATTATCTGAGCTCCCAAATCCATGCTAATTTTCTTCACTTTGTACTGCCACGAGCTCTCAATAAAACACAGCTCAAAATACTTGGTGCTTGAGCCAAAACATTTTCACAGCAGCCTCATTGTGTGTCTCTCTGTGTGTGGAAATTAACCATTATTTTGAATAGCAAAATTTTCCTACTTAAAAGTTATTAAATTTTGCTACCACTGTATAGCAGAAGTGCCACTCTGTATGTCAATTGTGGCATGCATTCATCCAACAAAATTCTGATGAAATATCTTACCTTATATCTCCATTTTAACAAAGTGTTGTAACATGGTGTTATGGCATCACCCAAGCAGGTGTAGGTGGAGTGTCCATCTTGATTACTGATTGTTGGGCTATTTCTCTTTTTTGACAATCCCGTTGATCCTGAAACTTTACAGTAGTATTTAACTCTTTCTAATACATTTTTCTCTTGTAGATTGGACGTTCATAATCACCACGCTCCTAGCAAGTCTGAACAGCTGTTGTAATCCCTGGATCTACATGCTTTTCACAGGCCATCTTTTCCACGATCTTTTGCACCGGTTCCTTTGTTGTTCTTCACGGTACTTAAAAGCTCGGCAAGGATGTGATCTGAGCGTAAGCAAGAAAAGCAATTCATCCACTTTTGTTCTGAGTCTCAAAAGCTCCAGTCAAAGGAGTTTTACCCAGCCATCCACAGCATGAGCTAGAGAGATCCAGCATCTCTATAGACTATACTAAAATGTTTGGCTACAAATGGCTTTGGTGTCTATCTACTTAAGAAAATGGGGCAAAGTGATATGGGTGCATGTAAGTCTGGGCATAAATATACTGTATGTGTAAAAATGAGTGTATTGTACGTATAGGGTATTTGTTTATTGATATATAAGGTAATAGAAAGCTGGCTATAGTCTGATTCAAGATAAATAATTTGACCCTTCAAGAACTTGGAAATTCTATTCCTGTCTGGCCCTGGCAGACAAATTTGTAATATTTGAAAAACACTATATTTTGTATATTTGAGCCAAATACTAGTTTCCATGCAAAACATACAAGGTTTGATCACAATGTCGATGGATTCCACAGATTAATCAAACCTACAAACTGAGCAACAGATTACTCTTACAAATAACAGGAACAAGAAGAAAATATTGTCTCCTATTGTAAAGGCAGTAGAATATAAGACAAATGAATATGGTGGAGTCTTCTAAAGTCAAACGACATATGGAGTAGAAAAATATTGTTACTTCTTGGACTGACCATTCAATCCACAACAAGCAATTCAAATCTTTAAACACCCCATCATTACCTGAACTTATGTGATGACTGGTGATGGAGAAAAATTCCAGGAGCCCAACGTGATAACAGAAACTACATTTGAAGAGGAAACGATAAGTCCTGAAGTTGACTTTTATAGATATTCCATGTTTTTTTTCTTGTAGCATCATTCATTTTTTTTCAGCAACATTCCACTGTGAAATGTTAACCCTTCAAAGACTGTCAGCATAACATTGTGTATCGCTCATTAACTGTTGACAAATCTAACACAGCAAAATTTATAGAGGATGCAGATAGTGCTTTGTAAGAAGGATACCAGCTAACCCATCATTACTGGGTGCCTCTTGCAGAATCTAACCAGAAGGGGAATGTTGGAAGGCAGTTTTAAGGCACACTTTTAACTTGCAGTAGACAATAATGACACCCATCACTGCCCTTGTCAATAGCTTATACATTCTATAGCATGACCCAAAATCCCTTTCACTTTCAGAAAACAGTGAGGTTTTTTTTTTTATGTGATAAATAATATTCCTGTAAGAGATCAATGATCCATGTGTTTCTGCTATTAAACACATTGCATATCAGTCATTGACTGTTACCATAGAAAGTATCAAATGCTTAGCCTGGACAAAAAGAAAAGTAAGAGTAGATAGCATAGAAAACTGTCAGATTTGAACAAGTATCACAGAGAAGATGGAACAGATTTATATTCTGTGGTTCAAAAAGTCAGAACTACCAAGAATGGGTGGGAATGCCATTTTTGGCTAAGTATCAAGGAAAACTTCCTAATGTTATGGCAGTGGAATAAATTGTCTCTGGATATGTTGAAGATTGAATTACTTCAATTATCTCTGAAAATATTTAAGCAGAGAGGCTCTAGATGTATCTCCTTTCAGCAGTGATGTATATAGATGAACTTTGGATATTACAATTTTTACAAATCGTTGAAGTGAGATATTACTCAATTTTAAATGCAATCATAAAATATTTGGACAATATTTAGAGACTACTGAGCATCCATCAAAACCTGCAAGTTGAAATTGTTATTCTAGAAGTTTTCCATTTGCTATCTGATATAGTTCTGCTCTTGATTCTACTGCATATATTATTGGCTAAATATTTTCTGGGGATGAACCTGGGGCTGTTTTAGCTGCATTCCACAGATTTTGCCTTTTTTATTGTAAAATGAGCTCAAAGGATAGTATAAGGGAGAATTCTAAAAAATTGTAATGGTGACAGCTCTACAATAAGTGTACAACACAGATAGTCCTTGTTTAACAACATCAGTTAGGACTAGAATTGCCATCGCTAAGCAATATGGTCTGCAGGGTCATGTGACTGTGCCACCTATCAATAGCAGTGCTGACAGTCCTGGTGGCAATTGTTAAGTGATGACTATACAGATCATTAAGCAAGGACCTCATGTAATTGTGACTTCCAACTTCCTGCCAGCTTCCCCATTGACCTTGTGGGAACCAGCAGAAAAGATTTGAAATTATGATCACATGACTGTGGCTTGCTTAACATTGTAATTGCAAGCCAGGGGACCAAATGTTCACAATCAGGTGACAGTAAGGATGCTGTGATGGCTGGAACTGATGGCATATTGTGGTATGCTAGAAGCTAAAGCTCACATGTTCCCAGGATGTCTAAGCCCTTGAAACAACTGATTTCCTTAAGTTGATGAATTGGACCAGTTGTATCAGTGAGCCCTTTGCATTTTTTTTTTTTAGGATTATTCAGAAAAATCTACATATTTAACACAAGTAACTCCATTTACTATGACTAATAGTAGTAAAAATAGTTCTCATTTTTCTTATATATCCACAAAACCCCCTGGAAAATATTATGCCATTCAGAATTTAGTCATTTGATTTTAATGAGGTAAAAAAGTTGGCCAACTGAAAACTGTAGATGGACCCTGAGAAACAGGAGCAGAATGGTGTTTTCCATCAGAAGCTCCATGTGGCATCCTAACTGAGGTTTTGAAATAGGAATCGGGAGACCTGGTTCAAATCCACCCTCCAATACAAATGCACCCAAATGCATGATTGGGCTCAGTCATATCTCAGCCTTATCTTTGGGTCCAGCATCTATTTCGCTAGGCTGAAGGGGATACTGTGTGTGAGTGGATTTCTGTTGGGAAGGGAAGTTGTCCTATTTCAGGCAGAGGGAATTTCATCCCATTCATGTTGTTCAAGAATCCCACCCTTCAGAGAAGTTATTATGTCATGAAGAAGGAGACAGTAAGAAGAGGAGGTGGTGACCTTACTTTCTGCAAGCTTCCTTTTGCTCAAAGTTCTCAAGAGCCAATCTCTTGTCTAAAAAAATATTTGCCATCTTCGCTGATTTTACTGTAAGATAACTTTGATTTAATACTAGGTGACTGTATGTTCCTTGCTTGTTTAATTCAATCTGGTATTTTTCTGGAAAAAAATATTTTAAAAGATACATTTGAGTAAGTAGTTATCTTCTTTTTTAAAGAGAGAAAAAAAATCACAATTAAAAGATACAAATGGGACCCAAAAGAAAAGAAAGATAAACTGTATTATACAAGAAAAGTAACTATATGTATATATATATAAAAACTCTAAATAAATGTAAAAGTATCATACCACCGAGGATACTTTGTGCTGTGGGTTTCTACAGAAGCACTCGCTTTGCGTTTATGGAGTCCTTTCTTGTGTCATTTGATCAAATATCTTTCCAGATTCTCTGCCTGCTGTGGATAAATCTGGCCACAATAGAATAGAATAGAACAGAATTCTTTATTGGCCAAGTGTGATTGGACACACAAGAAATTTGTCTTTGGTGCATATGCTCTCAGTGTACATAAAAAAAAATACATTCATCAAGAATCATAAGATACAACACTTAGTGATAGTCATAGGTTACTAATAAGTAATCAGATGATACTAGGAAACAAATAAAACAATATAAATCATAAAGATACAAGCAACATGGTTATAATCATTAGTGGGAGGAGATAGGTAATAGGAAGGATGAGAATAATAATAATAGTAATACAATCTTAGTAAATAGTTTGACAGTATTATGGGAATTAGTTGTTAAGCAGAATGATGGCATTCGGGAAAAAACTGTCCTTGTGTCTCGTTGTTCTGGTGTGCAGTGCCCTATAGCATCGTTTTGAGGGTAGAAGTTGAAACAATTTATGTCCAGGATGTGAGGGGTCTGTAGATATTTTCACAGTCCTTTTTTTGACTCTTGCAGTATACAGGTCCTCAATGGAGGGCAGGTTGGTAGCAATTGTTTTTTCTGCAGTTCTAATTATCCGGTTGCAGAGCCAAACCAGACAGTTATAGAGATGCAGATGACAGGCTCAATAATTCTTCTGTAGAACTGAACAAAGAAGGGAGGTGTTGGAAAGAGGGAGAATGGGAAGGAGACCAATGAAGAAATGTGGTGGAAGAAAAAAAAATATTATTACATGTAAGTTTAAAGTCTTTTGGGCAATGTTTTATTAACACAAAGATAGTAGGTGTATTTCCTGTCCTGGTAACTTAGGCACAAGTTACAACCGAACATAAATAGTTTTGTCTGAGCGACATTTATTTATAAATAGATCTATAAATAACTATTTAGTTATTTAGTTTAATTTTTATCCAAAGCACTCCCAAAGTGGAGATTTGATGTCTACTTATTTGATTATTTAAAAAGAATAATTTCTATCACTATTGAGTAAAACCAATAAGATTTTGGAGCCTTTAACCATTATCTATAATATGAAAGACTACTCAATGCCTTTCCAATAGGAAAAGGAACCACAACAGCTGGTACACACCATGGGGCAGAAAAAATACATTGAATGGCCACCTCAGAAGATCAGAATAGTAAGAATCTAAGCCTGCCCTAGAAGGTAAACTAAGTTCACACATTTTCGTAAACCATAATTCAATATACTGTATTTTTCGGAGTATAAGACGCATCTTTTTCCTCCCTAAAAGAGGCTGAAAATTTGGGTGCATCTTATACTCCGAATGTAGCTTTTCTGAAGCTTTTTTTCAGTCCTAACGAGGCGTTAGCAAAGCAATCTCCATGCTTTGCTCCGACTCTCAGCTTTTCTTTAGAAGCTTTTTTCCAGCCTTAACTAGGCGCTAGCCAAGTGAAGTGATCTCCCTGTGCTTTGCCTGCTTTTCTCATTGCTGCTTCCTCTCAGCTGTACCTTGGAAGCTGTTTTTTATCCCCAAGCAGGGGATAAAAAACCAGCAAACTAATGTGCTGAAGCTGACCAGACTAAGGACGCTAGCCAGATGAATACTTGGTAGGCAGATCCCCCCCCCATTTTCCTCCCCAAAAACTAAGCTGCGTCTTATACTCTGAAAAATACGGTAATACTTTAACTATAATAACTGTTTCAATAGTTTAGAAATCAGAACATCTGTGTTCATACATCTGATTTTGTCAAAACCAAATTTACATTTATTTATTTATTAAAGTTATATACTGCTCATCTTGCCGAAAAGCAACTCTAGGCAGCTTACAATCAATAAAAACAAGACGAATTATTAAAACATTAAAATAATACATATGAACACTAAAACTGAGTTAAAAATTAATCAAGGTAGCAAAGAGGAAGCAAAATGCTCAATAGGAGGAGGTGGGTTCTTAGTCCATTAACTACCCCCAGAATTACACACACACACACACCGGGGGTCCGAGGCCTTTGGCAGAGCCAGGACTTCAGGCCTATTTGGAAGGCCAAAACAGTGTCGATCTCACTTGGGAGGGGGCGTGATGTTTCAGAGGGTGGGAGACACAGCAGAAAAGGTTCTTCTCCTGGACTCTGCCAACTGGTTCTTCTCCTGGACTCTCAACCAATGGTGTTCAAAACATTCCCTTTTTGCCACCGAGGCAGGCCAATCACATTAGGTGAGACAGTTCCTCAGATAATCTGGACCCTAACAAGAAGGGCTTTAAAGGTAAGAACTAACATCTTGAATTGGACCTGGAAGCAAACTGGCAACCAGTGCAGTTTGCAGAACAGCAGTGTAACATGGACCACTTTCGTGGCCCCAAAAACTGTCTTTGTATCTGCATTCTGTGCCAGCTGTAGCTTCTAAATATTCTTCAAGGATAGGCCCATGTGTTGCAATAGTCTTGAGTGTCAGAACGCAGGGACTCCTAATCCAGGAACTATTGATTTATTATTATTATTATTATTTATTGGTTAATCTTTAGTGAGATTCACAGCCTTTGAGGCTGGTTAATAGCTCAGCAGCTCGAGTCCTAACCAAGGACCTAGGAACTGTTAAGGTATCGTCGGAGGATGTAAGCTGTTCCGAGTAAGGTGGTTTTTTGTAGAGTCAAAATGTTCAAGTCCGGCAAATTTAGAGTTTCTAAATAGCGGGGTAGCCCTTTGGGTATTGCTCCGAGGGCTCCAATTACAATCGGGACAACACACGATTTCTTTTTCCACAGTCGCTCAACTTCAATTTGTAAGTCCCGGTACTTTGTGATTTTTTCTTGCTGCTTATCTTCAATCCGTGCATCACCAGGTATTGCAATGTCAATGAACCATACTTTTTTCTTTTCAACTATTGTTATGTCAGGTGTGTTGTGGACCAAGTGCCTGTCAGTCTGAATCCTAAAGTCCCACAAGATCTTGAGTTTCTCATTCTCTAAAACTTTCTCAACCTGATGTTCCCAGTGGTTTTTGCTGTACTCAAATCCAAACTTCTGGCACAATTTCCAATGAATGATTTTAGCAACACGGTCATGGCGTTGTAGGTAGTCAGTTTGTGAAATTTTGCTGCACCCACTGATCAGGTGGTCAACTGTCTCTTCTTTTTCATTGCAGAGGCGGCATTTGCTGTTGGTGGTAACATGTTGAATTTTTGCCTTCATACAGTTTGTGGCTAGGGCTTGTTCTTGAGTTGCCAAAATAAAGCTTTCTGTTTCTTTTTTCAGTACTCCTGATCTTAACCAGTTCCAAGTTAGTTTCTGGTCAGCTTTGCCTTCAATACTTTTCAAGTATTGGCCATGCAGAGCTTTGTGTTTCCAATTTTCAGCTCGCTGCTCAGTTACTTCTTTCTTATATTCTGCTTTTGTTTTAGTTGTCTTTAAAAGGCCTCCTTTATTTACTTCCTTAATCATTGGTTCTTCACTTTTCTGGATGTAATCATTCAAGCTGCATTTTTCTTCTTCCACAGTCTGCTTTACTTGTAGGAGTCCTCGACCACCCTCTGCTCTTGGTAAATATAATCGGTCAACATCACTTTTAGGGTGCAAGGCATGATTCATTGTCATAAGCTTCCTTGTTTTTCTGTCCAAATTGTCTAACTCCATCTGGGTCCAGTCAATTATTCCTGCAGAGTATCTAATCACAGGTATAGCCCAGGTATTTATGGCTTTTATGATGTTTCCTCCACTGAATTTGGACATTATTATTATTATTATTATTATTATTATTATTATTATTATTATTATTATTATTATTATTTCGATTTATATGCCACCCTTCTCCGGAGACTCAGGGCGACTTACAATGCATTAAGCAATAGCCTTCATACTTTTGTATATACCTGCTTAGTAGGGCTTTTTGCCCCCCCCCCCCAAGCAGTGTTCTTTTTTATACAAAGTCAGCTTATTGCCTCCACAAACCGGGTCCTCATTTTACCTACCTCAGAAGGATGGAAGGCTGAGTCAAACTTGAGCCTGGTGAGAATTGAACTCGCAGTAATTGCAGGCAGCTGGCAGCTAAGTGCTATTTTTAACAGTAGTTTAGTCCGTTGCGCCACCAAGGCTATCAAGTCATTTTTGATTCCTAGTGACCACATACAGTAGATGGGTACTCTCCATGAACCACATTAACTATAGGTAAAGGTTCCCCTCGCACATATGTGCTAGTTGTTCCTGACTCTAGGGGGCGGTGCTCATCTCTGTTTCAAAGCCAGCGCTCTCCAAAGACGTCTCCATGGTCATGTGGCCGGCATGATTAAACACCAAAGACACACGGAACGCTGTTACCTTCCCACCAAAGGTGGTCCCTATTTTTCTACTTGCATTTTTTATGTGCTTTTGAACTGCTAGGTTGGCAGAAGCTGGGACAAGTAACGGGAGCTCACCCTGTTACACGGCACTAGGGATTTGAACCGCTGAACTGCCTACCTTTTGATCGACAAGCTCAGCATCTTAGCCACTGAGCCACCATGTCCCTACCTTAACTATATTACTATATTAATAGTATATATGGTAATATACTATACTATATTACTACATAGCCAATATATTTTTAAAAATCCCTTTTTATCCCTAGGTATAATGTGTGTCCACAATCTGCTCATTTACTGACTCACATGGTCCTGCAGCTTGGCAGCTAGGATGCTTAATAGGGCTTTCAGTGTTGTGGGGAGAGCGAGTATTGGATAGTGCTGTTCCTTTGTAGAGGTCTTCATGATTAATATTATCCTTCCTTGTGTTAGCCGATCTGGGTGGGAGCCTGCTGTTAGCAGCTGATTCATTTGTGCTGCTAGGCATTCATGCACTGTTGTTAGTTTCTTAGTCAATGGGTATGGATAATGTTAGAGCCAGATGCTGTCCTGCTATTCGTGTTCTTGACCCACTGTTGGACATCTGTTACTGTGATGGTAATAAATTCTT